GCGGCGACGCCGTCCTCGACGAGGCCGCCGCCAGGCTCTTCGTGGAGCTGCGCAAGCGCGACCGCCAGACGGCCCGCCCCCCCCCCCCCCCTCGAGCAACGCGCGCCGCCGCGCGAGGGAAGGAGAAAAGTTGAAGCCTCCTCTTCGTCCTCGTCCTCGTCCTCGTCGTCGCCCTGGTCCTCGTCCTCGTCGTCGCCCTCCTCGTCGCCCTCGTCGTCGTCCTCCTCCTCGTCGTCGTCGTCCTTGGAAGCTCGCTGAGGGGCAGCGGACTCGATCTGTGTTTCTGGGGCGACGGAGAAGGGGAGGATGCTCGTTGGGTAAGAGCGAACCTGAGTAGTCCAACTCGTCGATAAGAGCAAACCTACGATCGGAGCTTCTCGCGAATGGGGGTCGTGAGGAGTGCTGTTGACGGAGCAGGCGCGCTGGCCGAGCGTATTGGAATCTGGCCCCAGAAAACATCGCTGCCCTCTCCCCCAAGCGACCTAGAAAAAACGGGCGCCGGCCTCCCAACATTGGGGTCCGAGCAGAAAGGATCGGGGAATCGCATCACATCGCTGATGCATCGCTGATGCGGCTCGATGCTGAATCTGATTTGCTCCGCGCTGGCGTCGCTGATGCAGCGCCGACGTCGACGGTACATCCCCGATGCATCGCTGATGCATTGGGAATGCGGCGCGATCCCCCGGCCCCATCTACTTGGACCCCATCAAGGAGGCCTCTTAGATGCCGCTGCCCTTCCCTTCCCTTCGCCTCGAGATCTGGGTCAGAGCGCCCCTTAGAGAGGTCCACGGAGTAGCGTTAGAAAGTCCAGGGTCCGCTCAGGATCCCCCAAAAACGACCACCCGTTCTGAAACCCTCCCGGGACCATCCGAAAAGCCTCTCCGAACCCTTCGGGGAGGGTGTTCGCAGGATTTCCGAAAGGCTTCGGCTGCGTCGGGGGGGAGCCGGTCCCTGGCGAAGCCTGGACGGTCTAACCGTTGTGGCCCCCGCCGCGCGCATGGTGTGCCCAAGTGCCGTGGTGCCTCTCGGCTGCCTGCCACCGCGGCGTGGCTCCGCGCCGCTGCGACAAAGACAGGTTCCCCTGCCGCCCCATTCGCCACCCCGTGGGCGCCCGAGTAACTCGGGCCCCCGGGTGACTCGGGCTCGGGTTCGGAAAAAATCCGAACCCGAGTTGGCCCTGACCCGAGTTACCCCGGATGATTCGGGGCCTTGGACGCCCGAATTATCCAGGGGTAACTCGGGCCCAGGGCAACTCGGGCTTGGATTCCGGAGAAACGAACCCGAGTTAGCTCTGACCCGAGTTACCCCGGATGATATCGGGGCCCTGGGCGCCCGAACTATCTGGGATAACTCGGGCCCAGGGTAACTCGGGCTCGGATTCCCGAAAAATCCGAACCCGAGTTAGCCCTGACCCGAGTTACCCCTGATGATTCGGGGCTCTGAACCTCGGGTTGACTCAAAAAAGGGGGTCCAGCGACAAGGGGGAGGTGCAATAAACCTGGTCAATCTATTTGTGGGGTTGCAGTAGATTTGGGGTGTGCAATACATTCCAGTGCGCAAGTGTATTGCTGGGTTTGGGCGTGCAAAACATTAGTTGCACCGCCAAACAGTTCTCTGGCGCATCACATGTGCAATAAATACAGTTGCCCCGAACTTACTGCACCACCCCCTTTCAGCTGGACCCCCTTTTGAGTCATAAGGAGAATTTTCCTCTGCGCGCGCTGGCGCCGCGCACGCGGCCCGCGCGCGCCGCGCACGCTGCGGCAGCAGGCGCCGGCGTGCGGCAGCATGGCCCCCCAAAAGTGTCGGCGTGCGCAGGCCGCCCCGCCACGGAGCAGCCGAGGCGGGCATGCATCCACGACCACGGCCCAGGGGGTCGATCCTCGGGGGCCTCGACAGGCGGTGGAGGTGGGGCGTGTCCAGGCCTCCCAGGTGGGGTCGGAGCAGATGGGGTCGGAGGATCGCGCCGCATCGCCGACGCATCGCCGATGCATCGCCGATGTTGAGCCCGATCTGCTTCACGTCGACGTCGCCGATGCATCGCCGATGTCGACGTTGCATCGCCGGTGCATCGCCGATGCATCGCCGGTGTATCGCCGATGCGGCGCGATCCTCCGATCCCATGTGCTCGGACCCCATCTGGGAGGCCTCTAGTGGAGATGGGGCGCTCCAAGGAGGGCCTGGCCTTCGAGGATCGAAGGAGTTGTCATCTCTTCCTCGGCGGGAGTAAGACGAGGCCGCCTCCGCCAGCGGAAGCTGGCGGAAGGCCGGTGGCAGGCGGCGGAATGAACAGATGCGCCCCCAACATGGAAACGCTTTTAGGCTCAGGGTTTCCAGAATCCGCCAGATGAATATGTTCGGGCTCACTGGGGCTCACGTTGGCGTGCCCAGGCTGTCTCTCGGCAATGACGGCATGATAAGGGTATTATATTGTCGACCGTCCGCAGGGACTTCTTGGATCTACGCTCGGCCACCATGGCAGCCAGGGGGGTGGGCCCAGCGCAGATCCAAGAAGTCCGCGGGGACCGTCGACAGTTTACGGTTACGTATGCCGTTTTCTCTTTTGTTTCATCTCGCCACCAAGCAAGCGAGCCCCGTGGCCTTCTGCGGGACGGCGAGCTCCCATAGGAGGCTCGCTGGCGCCACCTTGAACCCTCTGAGGCCATCGCTCTAGGTCTCATAGATGGTGTCCCAGCAGATGGGGTCGGAGGATCGCGCCGCATCGCCGATGCATCGACGATGTGGCTCGATGTGGAGCCTGTGTTTTCCCACGCCAACGTCGCCGATGCATCGCCGATGCATCGGCGATGCATTGGCGATGCGGCGCGATCCTCCGACCCCATCCACTCGTCGGGGAACAAAAAGTGACATAAACATAAAAACTCGGAGATCCGCTCGGATTTCTCGGATCGGCGCTGGGGCCCCCCGGCGGCGCCTCCGGCGCCGCGCCTGGCGCGCTCCGCGCGCCAGGGAGGGGGCTCCAGCGCCGATCCGAGAAATCCGCGCGGACCTCCGAGTTTTTATGTTTATGCCACGTTTTGTTCCCCTAACTCGGGCCCCATCGAGGAGGCCCCTCGTCGCGCGACGCATGCTGCACCGCAGCTGGCCGGCCCTTGCAGGCCTGCGGGCCGCGGCCCCCGGCCCGGCCTGGGCGGCAGCAGAGCGGGCGCGGCGGCGACGAGAAGCAGCGTCGCCGGGGCCTCGGGGCGCGCTCCCGCCGCCCGCGGGCGGGTGCCGAGGGACCGACGGTCCCGAGGTGTTTGCCCGCTGCTGGACTCCAGGGTGAACTCGGGCCTGTCCCTCTACAGGAGGAATACTCAAACATAGTTGTTTTAAAGAGATAGTCTGGGGGCGATGTTTTCATTACTTGCTGATGATTCCTGAGCGTTTTTGGAGCAGTTGTTGTTTTTCGTCCGACCCCCCCACCCGCAGGGGGACATGCCCGACCTAACTCCAGGGCCCTCGCCATGCCCAAGGATCGTCTGGGAGCTGCTCGGGGCGAAGAGCTGGTCCTGGGGGAAGGCCCGTTCCTAGGCCCTCGGGGCCCGTGGCCCTCAGGGCCCGTTCCTTGCATGCCAAGGTTGCTCTGCTGCTTGCAGCTTGGTGTCCGAGACTTCGTGTCGTGACCCTCGTGTGTCGCCGTGTGTCGATCGGCGACCCCTCTCGTGCGAGCTCGAGCCCGTGCCAGGCTGCAGATTTCCCATCGGGTGGAGGCGCGGCCTTTTCTGGAAGCTCCGCTGTGGCCAGCTCCCGCACGTTGCTCTGCAGCTCCTCGCTGGTCGCTGCCCCGCCACACAAGCAAAACCTCGGCGTGTCCAGGTCGGGGGGGGGCCTCGGGCACACGGATGGGGGGCAACCATGAGGCATCGACCTCGGGGGCCCAGCACAGGGCTCGAGTTGGACGGTGGTCTGCCGAGTTCGTGGACTGTTTTCGTTTTGTTTTGTTTTCGCAGCAGAGGCAGAACGCAGACAGAACCAAGGAAAGCGAAAACAAAACGGACACGAAAAGTACTGTTTAGCTCGAGCCCTGCATGAGGCACCGATCTCGGGTGCCCAGCATGGGGAGCAACGACGAGGCCACCTATCTCGGGGGCTTGGGCTCTCTCACAGGCCGTTGTTGAAGACAAATGAGCGACGAGAGAAGACGGGGTCGTTTACACCGACACTTGCGCGCCAGCTGCCCGCGTAAGCTCCCTCGCGTCCCCAATGTGACGTGCCGCGATGGCGGCCCGCATCCGCCGCCGCGTAAGGTCGCTACGTCATCTCGCGCAAGACGCGTTTTCAGTCGTCGCTCAAATCTGGTCGGGGATTTTTGTTGGACCGCGCGTCTCTCCGCCGGGTCTGACCCACCACGCTTCGGCGCGACTCGTTGTCCTTCCCCCCGTTCAAGCAGTGGCGAAGCGTCTTGGCTCGCCCATAGGCCTACCAAATAATGTTCTAAGAACTTTGCGTGGTTTCCACAAAATGTTATTCGCATTTCTGGCGGAGTTTGTCTTGTCTTAACACATCGGCTCTATGTTCTAAGAACAGTGTTGCTGTTATGAGAACCTTTTGGGGTTCGAAGAACATGTCGTGGCAGGCCTACAAGAATGCCGGGACGGTCGACCCCTGCTCAACCCGCCCCCCCAGCGTCCGCGTGCCGAGCTTTCCCGAGCCTCCCGCCCTGCGGGGTGGAGCGACGCGCCGTCCACCCGCAGGGCATAACGGCGTGTCGCTGGGGCCGCCGCCGCGGCGCGCTGTCCAAGAGCTCCTGGCCGCAGAGCCCCCTCGAGTCCAACCCAGTGCTATGGTGTTCCAACCTATTATAGCCTTGATCACCAGAAAGAATTTCGAGCACCAGAGAAGCACCCAAAAACTCAAGTGTTTTCACGTGTCGGGCCCTGGGAGGCACTCGTCCGGCACTGTTTCGGCACTCTTTCGACACTCTTTCGACACTTTTCTGGGTGCTCGAAATTATTCCTGGGATGGAGCAGCATGAACCCAGCGGCTGAGACGGCGCATGTCTGGGGAAGCGCCCACAACGGTCGTCAAGTCGGCCCCAAGGCTGCGTTCGCCAAGGCGAAAGCAGTCT